TTTATTAATTTATTAATTAATTATAAAATAAGTATTTGTAGAATATTTACTATACAAATTAATATACCATAGATAAATTTAGTAAGGTGCACCATACATGTATATATATATATATATATATATAGGTCCATATGGACGCTGCACCCATTATTTATTACCCCTTTTTCACCTGCTCGTGTCTATCTCTTTTCCTCTCCTCTTTTATATGCTCCTGCGGGAGTAATTAACTCTCGGGTAAAATCTCTTTCGGCAAATGATCATGTGGTCCCGCGTGAACAATTAACTAGCTCTCAATCCAATTGGGAGTACCAGCATCTTTTGCTGCTCCAATTTTGTGTGCTCGAATATTGGTACTAACATTAAAACTTAAGCATGCCTTAAGAAATAGCGGAATATTCTTTTCTGAACTCGAGAGAAAAAATAATATCTCGATATCCAAAATTTAATAAGCACATATAGTATGCTCCCTCGGGAGGATAGTTTACTCCTACTTTCTTGGTGACAAGATCATATCAAATTTGGAAAGCATTTAAGAATTACTAAGTGGTTATTGTAAATAGAAAAAAATTAAAATTTTGAGTTTTCTAACACTTATGTGTCAAGGATTTTATATTATGAGACTATTCATTTTTAGTACAAAAATGTCACAACTTTTTTCAACCATTAGATGTGAAATCTAACATATTAAAATGTATCATAGTTTTTGAGAAAATTTGTTTCAGACTTTATGCTCAATAAGTGAGACATCACCACTCATCCCATTTCACATCCAAAGGTTGACAATGATTGTAATATTCTTGTATCAAAGTAAATGGTCTGGTCATATATATTTTCTATATCTCACATCAAAAAATTGGATGGTCTCTACTCAATCTCAAAACATTATTTTTTTCAAGTACATAAAAGGTTCAATTAAGAAATTTTTCTTATTGACGGTAATCTATGGGCCAAAGAGATTATAACCCCAAAGTTTAGATTCCTAAAATTAATTATAGGTGCGGTTTTTACCCCGGGGAGTAAATGGGCATTGCATCCATGTAGAACCCGAACATCTTTTGGAAATTTAAATTTTTTACTTTGGAAACTCGAAATCCAAAATTTTCGGTATAGAAAATTCACTTAAAATTTGGTATTTTGCTTGAGGGAGTAGCTATACAAAATACTCTCCTATTAGCTTTTGGTTATTTTAGGGTAAGCTCTGTATTTTTATTAGTCACTATTGTATTGCTACTGGAGCAAAGCAGAATGGCGGATTAGGATTTATACAACCAGGCTTAAATAGTTAAGAAAAATTATGATGATAATGGTGTATGGCCATCTTTCCCCAAATAATTTTAAAAATAGAGACAATGATGATGATGCAGTATTGATATCTTTATTTTTTAAAAGATAAAGTTTCTATAAGGTCTAGGTTTTATGAAAACAAAATAAAATCTCACTTCAAATCGTCATCTGAAAAGTACTTTAGGCATCAAAAATCTTCATGATAGCTTTAAAATCAATTTCCAAAATTTGAAACTAAAAAACTAATACAGATCTTGCGGATTTGTTAATACTTATTTTTAAGAGAAAATAGATGATTTGTTGTAATATATATTATTTTTAAAACTTAAAATCTAAATTCTTTTTCACAACTATAATTTTCAAATTGACATGGCTTTTCAACCCTTGAATTGTAATTTTTTATAAGTTTTGAGGTGAAGCTTTACTTATTTTGACACACCAATCAACCCATTTTTCCTTTTTAAGAGGTGATGGCTTTGCTGCATCGATTTCCTATCTACCAAACACGCGTCATTCAATCCGGTTTTGGTGGGCAGGGTGTGGTGCTTCACTCTTTGAACGCCCGCTAAACGACGCCTCCCCCTCCGTCCACACATTCGAAATTGGAGCTACTAAGGTGGTCTCGCGAGACCGCCTCTTCTTTTATTTTCTAAACAAGGTACTTGCCTTGCAAGTAGGGTATCTTTTTTTTTAGAAAAAGTTTATATAAGGTCTCACGAGCTACTTTTTTTTTTTTTTTAAATAAGTTTATATAAGGTCTCAACATTATACTGTAACAGGTACGATACACCAAAAAAACCCACTAATGAAAGTTGTTTTTATGTTGAAAGCTCTTAAATCAATTATCTCAACCTCGAGATTCGTAAACATGAAAAATAAAATAAAATTTTTAGTTTTAAAAATAGTTCATCTTCTAATACATCGAAATTTTAAGATTTTCAAATGTTTATATATTTACTTGCTCGTCTCTATTTTTGGAACTCTAAATTTCATTATTAGGAGTGGCAATGGTTGGGTCCTGCAAACCCGGATCCGAATAGTCTTTGGGTCCAAAATTTGGACCCATACCCAGACCCATCAGGTCCTGGTTCTACCTGTCGGGTCCCAAGCCTCCGGATCCCAAGCCTTGTCGGATCCATTGCCACCCTATGACTGCGATGTTTTTTATTTTTTACTTTTTTTTTACCATCATATATCCTATAGTTATGAGCTTATTTTTATTTGTCAATAATATTATAAATATTGTCAATATTGGGACAATATGAACACCGAACACCTAGTGAGCACTTAAAGACATATGAATGCCATCATATATCCTATGATTATTGACCTATACCCGAATAGTATTCTGGTTCAAATTTAGACTCATACCTGGACCCGAGATCCGGTCTACCTATTGGCTCCCGGGGTTTGAACCCAAATCCTCAACTGATCCGAATTTGAATTGCCAATCCTGATTAGCTCAGTCGGTGACTGAATCTACCCGATCTGCGTTTTGAAACGTCAAAGAACATTGTTTGCTAGAGAGTGACGACTACTGGTCAGTTTGGACGTCTTCCTAAGGGTAGGTCCACTAACTCGGTCTTCTTTTTCAAGGAAAAGGCCAACACTTCGGTGCCTCAAGATCCCAACTCCACTAATCTTTTCTCTCTCTTTCTCAACCTCAACGTGTTTTTCATACCCTTTTCCCAAGAAGCCGTAAAATAACAAAACAGCAAACCGAACATTAGAAAATATGCTAATTTGTTGTGACCCTCATCCCACTGTTAGGTGTGGCAATGGACTTGGACCTAACCCGAGATCCGTTGGGTATACCCGATAAGGTGCAGATATGGGTCAAACATTTAAACATGACAGGTCGAGTCTAAGTCCAAAACTTGGGCCCGAATACTATTTGGGTCCAGGTCCTGTTGTACCAGATGAAGATAAAATACCTCAAGCCCTATTGTATTGGGTGTTATTAATGATTGTATACAATAAGAACTCTTAATCATCTTTAGCTACTAAATGACAGATCACACATCTTGAAATCTAATGGCGGGAGATTGTGACCTTGTTGTCAATAATATGGGTATATAATGGTAAAAAAAAAATACAAAAAAAAAAAGAAAAAATAAGCTCATAGTGAGGCTGGCAATGGACCCGACCAGACCCAGGACCCGACGGGTACGAGAATGGGTCCAACTTTTGGACCCAACAGGTCGGTCTGGGTCCAAAACCTAGACCCGAATACTATTTAAATCCAAGTCCGAGTCCAGCCGGACCCAACCCGCTGCAATCCCTAGGGGCAATAGACCAGGTGGCCCAGCTTGGTCAGGTCCAGCTGGTCTAGCCCTAAAATACTAGGGTTTGAGCCACAAAATGTGGCCCAAGGGCTAGGTCATAGCTGAGCAACCACATCTACGAGGTAGGGTTGGGTCGGGCTTCAGTTGTCCCTGTTCAGCCCAGTACGACTCTCTCTTTTCTATTTTTTGCTTTTTATTTTATTTTATTTGGCCAAGATAGGGTCAGGTCCGGGCCAAGGCCAAGCTTCTATGGCCCAGTTAGGTCCAAGCCAGGCTAAGCCTAGGGCGGCCCTATGGGGAATAGGGCTGGGTCTGACGGACATCATTCCCGCCCCGGACGAGCCCATTGCTAGGCTTACCTAGAGTGCACCACGCGGAG